CCACACTTGACAGCCCTGCCAGGCGGGTACCCCACACTTGACAGCCCTGCCAGGCGGGCACCCCACACTTGACAGCCCTGCCAGGCGGGTACCCCCACACTTCAGATCCCAGCTGGTCCTTAGAACTTCGAAACCCCAAGCACCCGAGGGGGGGGGGCGTTCTCTGCTACTCCCTAGGGCTGGCAGTGGGTTTCAAGACTCCCGTCCTAATTATCTCACTTTCCAGGTGGGAATTTTAAAAAGTTTGCTAGACCTTTGAGCCTCTGTAGTGAGAAACCAAAAATGTCAGGCTCCCAGACGCGCTCATAAGTTTAACCACCCTGTTGTTCCAGAATTTGGTTAAATTCGGCTCAGCTCTCTTGGAACCTCTGTGTGCACGGAGCTGTGTGAGTGGGCTCTGCCTCTGAGGCATTTGCAGCTTAGCGTGGTCGCCAGAGACAGGAGGGCAGTGCAGCTGGGCATCTGTACAGGAGGGGCCTGTGCACCTGTTGGGGGGGAGAGGCTGTTTCCCGTTGGCAGGAAGAGGGGGCGTCATCGCCTCCTAGCCCCATCCCCGCCCCCGAGCACGACGGCAGTTCCGGCAGCAGTGTTGGGCTGGAGTCTCCCCAAGAAAGGTCTAGAAACTGTTTTTGTCCCCAACTGCCTGCAGCGTCCACGGGAATCCGTTAGAACCCAAGAAAGTTCTGGGTCTTTGAGGCTTCCCTTGCTCGCCCAGGTTAGTCTTTGGGTCCCGCCCCGAGAGACCCCGTGCTGTGGGTCAGCAAGGCCTCGAGGACCCCAGGCCTGCTATTACTCGAAGGTCGAAGGTCCGGCCTGCCGGTTTTCGAGCCAAGGGTCTCTGGAGCCTGTACGCTGAGGGCCGCACGCGTTGCAATCAGCGGGACAGAGTCCTGGGAAACCGGCCCCTTCAAAGCCCAAACTCCTGTGGGTAAATATCCAAGCCCACTCGTTTCAAGCAATGGCCAGTCCCCATAAATTCCATTGTGCAACAGCTATTAGAGTAACCCGGACAGCATTTTTGGGGTTTTACGATGGAGTTCTCCTTCCTAGCAGAAACAAGTCTGCTCTCACCGGGGTGAGGCACGGTTCCACATCTCAGCCCTCTCAGCAGCGGGGCTGACAGCCGTTCCCTCCTCCTGAGAGAACCCTCCTGGACCCCGTTGCAGCGTCTCGCCGGTCTCCCTCCTCCCTCCTTTCTGCCTTTGACTCCGAGTCCTGCCTCCTTGGGCCCCCCTCCTCTGCCTTATCCTGGGGACCAACCCGTCTCCAGGGCTGCTGCCGCTGCCTTGCGCGGGGGGCCCCACTCTAGCCTGGTGGGGCTCGGGGTCAGTCTGCCCTTGGTTCGCCACGGCCGCTCGGCCTTGGCTTGCCTGAAGCCGAGGCCTGCTCCCGCCTGGCCGCCGTGCCTCCTGGCCACCTGAGCCTTCCGAAGGGCCTCGCTGTCCGTGACCTCTGTCCATCGGCTGCTTCCGTAAAGATTTCCGTAGACACCAGCTCCGGAAGGCCTTTGGTTTGCCCAGAAGCCCTGCCGGTCAGCCACGCCCCCCTCCTGCCTTCCAGATGGGGTACACCCCGCTGCACGTGGCCAGTCACTACGGGAACATCAGGCTGGTGAAGTTCCTACTGCAGCACCAGGCGAACGTCAATGCCAAGACCAAGGTAGGTGCGGGGGCGCCTTAGACCTGCCTCCAGCGTGGGCACAGCTCGGGCGCCAGTCAGGCTGCGGCCGGGGGTGCCTGGGCTCCGCCACCGCTCTAAGCTCTGGCCCCAAAGGAGGAACGGGGGAAATGCGGTTTTTTAACGTTGCACTGGGAGACGGGCAGGTGTCTGGAGCGGCCAGCTAACCCTGCCAAATGTCTGCCTGCTCTGCAGCTGGGGTACAGCCCCTTGCACCAGGCAGCCCAGCAAGGACACACGGACATCGTGACTCTGCTCCTGAAAAACGGCGCTTCTCCAAACGAGGTCAGCTCGGTGAGTGCCCCCGCCCTGAGCTTGAAAAGGTGCTCTCCGCGGCAGCGGCTCCAGGCAGCCCCCCTTGACTAGAGAGGTTCACGCACACAGGTGGGGCTGGACGGGCCTGGGGCACCCCAAAGTCCCAGCTGCCTAGGTGCCCGGGGGTGGGGCCCTGTGACCAGCTCCTCTTTCTGGTGAACTGAAGGTCTTCCTTTTAAGCACCATTTATCCTCCCTTTCATGTTTCTTTGTTTGGTTGGTTTTTTTTGTTTGTTTGTTTTTGAGACAGAGTCTTACTCTGTTGCCCAGGCTAGAGTGAGTGTCGTGGCGTCAGCCTAGCTCACAGCAACCTCAAACTCCTGGGCTCAAGCGATCCTCCTGCCTCAGCCTCCCGAGTAGCTGGGACTACAGGCATGCACCGCCATGCCCGGCTAATTTTTTCTATATTTATTAGTTGGCCAATTAATTTCTTTCTATTTATAGTAGAGACAGGGTCTCGCTCTTGCTCAGGCTGGTTTCGAACTCCTGACCTTGAGCAATCAGCCCGCCTCGGCCTCCCAGAGTGCTAGGATGACAGGCGTGAGCCACCGCGCCCGGCCTGCTTTCATGTTTCTTAAACCGTGGTAGAAAGGCTTTCTGAAACACAGGAAGCCCCTTCCCGTATGCTCTAAGTGAATAGAATGAAATGTGTCGGGTGGTTCCTGGTCTTCCAGCACCTCAGGGTTGCCGTTGGCGACGTCAGGGCCCGTTGCTCAGCGTGACCTTCCCCGTTCAGCCTCGTGGAGGTCTCTGGGGTTCTCTCCAGGCGGCTTTGCTCTGCAAGCGCGCGGACCCTCAGTTGTGGGCGTGGTTGCCACGTTCGGCGCTGCGGGGGCCCAGGGCACGTGCTGGGAGTGGAGAATTTCAGGGAAAAGTAAAGCCTCAGTATCGCTGCACTGTCACTTAGCTCTTTCCCTTGCAGTCAGAGCAGAACATACTCCCCACGCCCTGTTTCTGGTGACTGAAGTCAGTGGAAGCCCATGGATTTTAACTAAAAGATTTAGGGCTGGGTCACTGACACCCAGAGAGCCGACTCTGGGAGTCGTGGGCAGCACAGAGTCACATCCGGTGACGTCCAGACCCACCCTCAACTCCACAGACTTGACACACCCGGACACGCCCCGGTCCGTGTGGCCTTGTCGTGCGTGCACGGCTGGGCTCCTCGCGCTGGTGCCGGGAGCCTCTGGGCTCCGAGGCGGCGTCCATGCGCGCAGGCCCTTCAGATGACGGGAAGGGGAACTGGGGGGGACAGCGGGCTGGACCTTCCCCCGGCAGAGCCCTGTCTGAGTGCCCCGCCTTGCTGCTGTCCCCCAGAACGGAACCACACCTCTGGCCATAGCCAGGCGTTTGGGCTACATATCCGTGACGGACGTGCTCAAGGTCGTCACCGATGAAACCAGTGCCGCGGTAGGTCCGCTTCTCCCTGCACCCGCCCCCCACGCGCACCCCACGGGCAGGGCGCCCCAGGGGTACGGGGACCTGGGGCGGCCACCTGTTCTCTCAGGCTGGAGTCGTGCTGCCACCTAGTGGCCGGAGGGGTCGGGGCTGTTTCTCCTGCCGTGGCCGGGCTCGCCCTGGGTCCCCTGTGCCCCGGGGAGCCGCCCGACTGGCAACGGGGCGCATGGCTCCAATTCGGGTGAATTCTCTGCTTTCTTTCATTTTAGTTAGTCGGCGACAAGCACCGGCTGAGCTTCCCTGAGACGGTGGACGAGATCCTGGACGTCTCTGAAGATGAAGGTGAGGTCCGGGCGCTGTGCCGCACTGGGGGACAGAGGGTCCGGCACGACGGGGGTGCGGGTGCGTCAGGTCCTGCCACCTGCCAGGATGTGCCCCTCACCCACCCCCAGCACAGCAGATGGGCAACGAGCCAGGAGACCCGCTTTTCACAAATGGTGTCTATTACCAAAGTGCTCCTTTAAGGTGACCTTAGGTGGAAGAAAATTGGCCTCTCAGAAACTAAATTATATTCCACAAAGGTGTCATAAGTGTGTGTGTTTGCAACCAGCTCACCACTGTGTGGTCAGATTGGAGCGGGAGCCTTCTTGGAGCCTGAGGAACTGGAGTAAAACTCTGCCTGGTGCTTTCTTTGTGCGTTGAACAAATATTAAGTGGATTATTTAAAATCTACAAGAATGCCTTTTTTTTTTTGAGACAGAGTCTCGCTTTGTTGCCCAGACTAGGGTGAGTGCCGTGGCGTCAGCCTAGCTCACAGCAACCTCAAACTCCTGGGCTCAAGTGATCCTCCTGTCTCAGCCTCCCAAGTAGCTGGGACTACAGGCATGTGCCACCATGCCCGGATAATTTTTTCTATATATATTAGTTGACCAATTAATTTATTTCTATTTTTATAGTAGAGACGGGTCTCACTCTTGCTCAGGCTAGTTTCGAACTCCTGATCTTGAGCGATCCGCCCGCCTTGGCCTCACCAGAGTGCTGGGATGACAGGCGTGAGCCACCGCGCCTGGCCGAGAATGCCTTTTAATAAGCTACGCACATAGTGGGTCTGAGCACAAAATGGGTCCGTAGTTTGGGGGTTATATCCGTGATTGTGAAATTCCCGGTCTCGTCTTCGTGAACTACAGAGCGCTCCCAGCGTGCCCCCTGCCCGGTGGGCCGTTTCTCCCACTGAGGGAGACGGGAGCTCTGGTGCCGCAGAATAGCCGGTGGGCTGGGCGGGCCCTGCCGCCCTTCCTTGCGTCGGGCGGTGCGGGTCGTGTGATGTTGTTACCAGCCGGGTGCCCAGCCTTCTCCCGAGACCCTGCGATGCCGCGTGTGCCCCCCACTTTACCTGACTTCAGTCCTTCCTTCAACTCGGCTCTTCTTTGCTTTCCAGGGACTGCTCATGTGTCTATAATGGGTATGAAACGCTTTCTGTTCCCTGTGGTCTTCTCTCACCAGAGTGCATCTCACCCTCAGCAACCCCAGCCCTCCCCGGTCCATTCTCGCTTCCCATCCTGCTCCGGCGCCTCGGCGTCCCGTGGGGAGCCAGGCACTCTGCTCCCACGGGGGTCCGCACCCCCGAGCGCTCTCCGGCGGGCAGCCCCGCCCGTCCGTCCCTGTGTCTGTGCCCATCCATGCCGCCGTGTTCGTGGCCATCACTGCATGAGCTCTTGTTCCATCCCGTCAGCTCCGGGTCGGGAGCCAGGACACTCACAAGCCAGTGACAGCTCAAGGTTGAGGGCCCGGGCTGCGGCCCCAGTGCAGGCGAGGCGCGAGCGGAGAAGCAGCGTCTGGGCGTGGGCAGCCGGTTCTCCTGTAGTTTGGGCCTCTGTGATGGGCTTCCCACACAGCGAGGTTTCGGCCGCCATGGCGACCACATCCTGCCGCCCTGCGCACACGTGGCCGCAGCTCTGCCGCAGCTCGGCCCCTGCAGCGCAGACGACAGGGGCAGTAGCAGCACCTTCTTTGGTGTCACCGTACACCCTGAAAGGGCTGTTTTGGAGTGGACCCCGTCAAGCAAAGGAAGTTCTTTCCGAAAGGCTGTGTTTTTTGCCCATCTGCAAAACCGGGTGCAGACTGAGATGTCAGGAGGCGGCTGCCCTGCTCTGCGTCCCAGGGCTGGAGAGAGGAGCAGGACTGGGCACAGACGTTGCTCCGGGGCCCCTGGTGCAGCAGACGCCTTCCCCTCCCCTCCTCGGGAGCAAGCCCTGAGAGGCAGAGCAGGAAAAGCACTTTGCAGAGAGGAAGAGCGTCTCCCCTCCTGCCCCGTCCCTCACTCGAGCCCCTGTCGTTCCAGGGGAAGAACTCACCGGCTCCAAGGCTGAGAGGCAAGGCTCCAGGGATGTGGACGAAGAGAAGGAGCTGTTGGACTTTGTGCCAAAGCTAGACCAAGTGTAAGCGGTGCTCCTGGCGGGTCAGGTGTGGGCTGCCCGGTGCAGCCTGCCCCTCGGAGGAGGCGGCCGGAGCAGGGCAGGGCAGGGCAGGCGTCCCTCGCAGCGTGCTGCCGTCCCGGCATCCCTGCCTCCAGCTGTCCTTCCTCCCTGGCTCTCAGCCTCCCGCCCACGCCCCTCCTCCCTCTCTGGCACCCTCGGCCCTCACCAGAAGGCTCCCCTTAGAGACCTCTGCCAGGCTGAGGCCCGGCACTGACCTGCGCCCCTGCGCTGAGGCGCTAGGTGGGGTCCCCAGGGCCCGGGTGTGCCTGGGACGCTGTTCTCGTGTCTCCCGTGGCTGCTGCGAGTCACTCCGCTGTGAGTGCATTTGTGCACAGGGATGTCGTGCTAACAATCTGCAGTCGGCACTCGGAAGCCCAGCCCAGGCGTCCTCTGGGCTCGCACACGCGGGGCGGCGGCACGAGCAGGAAAGGGAGCTGCGGGGTTTTTGGGCCCCGGGTTGGGTGGGACGTCTGTCGGGAGGAGCACTGTGCTCCAGCCCTGGCCACGGGCCCACGCCAGTGGTCACGTGGCAATGCAGAGTGTCAGAGGGTCGAGGCCAGGGGAGGGTCTGTTGACGGGCTCTACGTGCAGAAAGGGGTGCACATGTTGGGGGTGTCCTTGGGGAAGACACCACAGCAGAGGCAGGTCCTTCAGTCGGGCTGTGAAGGCCAGTCGGGCTCCGGAGGGGAAGACGGAGGGGAGGGCCGGAGGCCAGGCGGAGGCCGTCCCTGTGTGGAGGGGGCAGCCGCACTGCACGGGTGCGCGGGGGACAGGCTGGGCGGACGGGGACATCACGGGTGTGGAGGTCCTTCTCGTAGGGGCCCGCCTTTGAGGGCCCCGTGTTCCTGGCACACAGGGTGGAATCTCCGGCCATCCCCAGGATCCCCTGCGTCACCCCCGAGACGGTGGTCATCAGACCGGAAGAGCCAGAACAGGTGAGAGGAGCCATCGCTCTTGCTCTCCCCTGCGTGGAGCGTGCCCAGCCCCGTGACAGGGACACAGCAGCAGTGCCCGGGGACCCGCAGCGGAGAGCTTGCCTTGCGCTGGCAGAGCCCTTCGGAGCCGCGACCCCATGTGTTCCTGGCAGCCCAGTGTTAGCGGGTGCTCGTGTCGTCCCTGACGTGGATGGCAGGAGACCCGGGCTGGGGTGCGGGCAGCACCGTGTCACTGTCCCGGGGTACGAGAGCTGAGAGCTGACGCCAGCACGTCCGGCCCCGGAGCCCCCGCCCGTAGGCACGCCCCCAGCACACGCCCTGCGCTCGTGGGGCAGGGGGTTCCGGGCTGCGGGCCCCGCCCCTGCGGCAGGTGGCACAGCCTGGAGTGGCGCAGAGCTCCGGCGAGGACAGCTCTGCCCCCTTTGCTTTTGCGTCCCTCAGCAAGGGGACGCTTTCTGTCCTTGCGTGAGGGCGTGTCAGGAGGAAGGGGCGCCGGACAGCTGCTCCCGGGCAGGTGTGACTCTTCAGAGAGCCCCGACTTCCCGGGGCCACCTGACCCTGTCAACACAAAGGGGGGAGATGGTTTAAAGCCACCCAATTCCCCTTAGTTTAATTTTGTGCCGTTTGGCACTTCTCCCCAGGGCAAGGTGATTTTCTAGGGAGAAAAGGAAGTAGCCCAGTGCTCGAGGCTGGGCACGCTGCGCCTGGGCACGACGGCTGCCCTGCGCCCCTCGAGGGGAGTGCCTGCCAGCAGCACTGGCGCCCGAACCCAAAGTGGCCCACAGGGATGAACCGGCCAGGCTGAGGTCCCACCAGCCTTCTGAACTGGGGGCTCAGAGGGCTGCGGTGGCGGGTGGCGTCTGAGGGAGATGGTCCGATGCGGCCCTTTTCCTGCCATGGCATGAGCCCCGGGCAGCAGCGAGTGGCCCTATGTCCTGCTGTTGCTGGACCAGCCCATTCTCTCAGCGCTTTGCCGAAGGCGGCAACTCCAGGCGGCAGGCGGCCCCCGGACTCCAGCCGTGCGCCCTGGGGAGGCTGGTGTGGGAGGCTGAGAGTGCCTGCCTCCCAGGAGCTGAGGCCAGCCCAGGGGAGTGGGCGGGGCCACACCAGCTAGCACAGAGCGCGGCAGGGTGGGCGTGAGGTGCTCAGCTGTGCGGCGTCAGTAAGCCACCCCAGAGCGCAGAGAAGGGGTAGAGTCAGCGGGAGTGACCCACGGAGGGGGGCAGGGCTGGGCGAGCGAAGGGGAGGGCAGGGCACTCTGGCCCGGGGACAAGCAAGAGTGGAGGCAGAGTGGAGGCTGGGTTCAGGGCCTGCTGGCGGCTGTGAGTCCGGCTGTGAGTCCGTGAGAAGGACCAGGCCCTGCCCCCAGGTAGCCCGTCCCTGCGGTCAGCACAGAAGGAGCGTCCCATTCCGCAGCCGGGGCCTGCTGTGTTCGCCTCAGGCACCTGCAGGGAGAGGGTGGCCGGGGCTGAGCAGCGCGGGGCGGGCGGGGCGCAGGGTCCCCAAGGCCTGCTGAGGGCAGGCTCCCCGCAGGGCACAGCCGTGGTGGCGGGGGTCCGCAGCTTGAGCCGAGGGCACAGGGTCCCCAAGGCCTGCTGAGGGCAGGCTCCCCGCAGGGCACAGCCCCGGGCGTGGGTCCGCAGCATGGGCCGGGGGCGCAGGCCTGAGCCAGACTCAGAGTGAGCGCTCACCGCGTCCTTGTGGGCTTCTGCCCAGGGGTCTCGAGACGCGAGGGGGCCGTGGAGGGGAGAAGCCCGTGTTCCGGACAGACGGCGGGCCCGCGTGGTCTGAGGGGTCCGCAGTGAGCCTGCGGGAGCACTTTTCCCCGGGCGCTGCGCTCGGCCGGCCCGGGGTCGGCGGCAGCGGGATGAGAGGACCTTTGCTGTCACCCTCAGGCATCCAAGGAGTACGACGAAGACTCGCTGGTGCCCAGCAGCCCGGCCACGGAGACCTCGGACAACATCAGCCCCGTGGCCAGCCCGGTCCACACAGGGTGAGCGAGGCCGGCGTCTGGGCCCCGCCCCGCCCGCCCCGGGAAGGGCAAAGACGCCCAACGCGGGTCTGCCCTGCCCCCAGGTTTCTGGTGAGCTTCATGGTCGACGCCCGCGGAGGCTCCATGCGAGGCAGCCGCCACAACGGCCTGCGGGTGGTGATCCCGCCGCGGACGTGCGCCGCGCCCACGCGCATCACCTGCCGCCTGGTCAAGCCCCAGAAGCTGAGCACCCCGCCCCCGCTGGCCGAGGAGGAGGGCCTGGCCAGCAGGGTCATCGCCCTGGGGCCCACGGGGGCGCAGTTCTTGAGGTGAGAGGCCCCGCGCCACCCCGCACCGACCCGGCGATGACGCGGGAGCGCGCCCACCACGGTGGAGCCCCGCACCGACCCTCCCCGCCCCGGCGGTGGCCCGGGAGCACGCCCACCACGGTGGAGCCCCGCCCCGCCCCGACCAGGCGGTGGCCCGGGGGCACGCCCACCACGGTGGAGCCCCGCCCCGACCAGGCGGTGGCCCGGGGGCACGCCCACCACGGTGGAGCCCCGCCCCGCCCCGTCCCGCCCCGTCCTGACGGGCCAGAGCCCGAGCCTCAGCCCCCTTCCCTGCGGGATCCCGGACACGCCACCGTGTCTGCAGGCCCAGGCGGCGTAAAGCTCTGGACTCGAGCGTGACGTTAGAGGAGGGCCGAGGAGGTGGCCCGAGGCTCCTGCACCCCTGGGGGCCCCGAGGGTGTAATCCTGGAGCACTGAAGCGGCCGCCCTGGAAGGGGCCCTCCAGCACGCGCAGGGATGGGATGGCAGGGCCACAGCCTCACAGGCCGGCGCTCTGCAGCTGCAGCCTGGGTCCCCCGGAGCTCCGCCGTCCCTCCGGCCCCGGGGATGTGGCGTGGGGCTGTGGCCAGGAGGCCCGCCTTCCCCCACCCCGCCAGCCCCACGCTGAGCGGCCGTGGGGTGGGCAAAGCGGCCTGCCCTGTGCCTTCTCCTCCATCCTCTCTGAGTGTGTCCCCAAGGCCCCTCCGAGGGGTGCCATCACGGCCGCTTGACACGCATGGCCTGTGTGGCCCGGGCTGGCCACGGGCCGATGTTGTCGGAGGTGCCCGTGGCCGGGCTGCTGGGCACGAGAGTCTGCTGAAGCTCGGGCAGGCTGTGTCCCCTGTCCAGGGATGTCACGCAGGTTCTGGGAGCCAGGTCCAAGGGCAGGCTGTGTCCCCTGTCCAGGGATGTCAGGCAGGTTCTCGGAGTCAGGTCCAAGGGCAGGCTGGGTCCCCTGTCCAGGGATGTCACGCAGGTTCTCGGAGCCAGGTCCAAGGGCAGGCTGTGTCCCCTGTCCAGGGATGTCACGCATGTTCTCGGAGTCAGGTCCAAGGGAAGGCTGGGTCCCCTGTCCAGGGATGTCACGCAGGTTCTCGGAGTCAGGTCCAAGGGCAGGCTGTGTCCCCTGTCCAGGGATGTCACGCATGTTCTCGGAGTCAGGTCCAAGGGCAGGCTGCGTCCCCTGTCCAGGGATGTCATGCAGGTTCTCGGAGCCAGGTCCAAGGGCAGGCTGCGTCCCCTGTCCAGGGATGTCACGCAGGTTCTCGGAGTCAGGTCCAAGGGCAGGCTGTGTCCCCTGTCCAGGGATGTCACGCAGGTTCTCGGAGCCAGGTCCAAGGGCGCAGGCTGGGGTCCGACTGTCTAGGGACTGTCACGCAGGTTCCTCCGAGCCAGGTCAAGGGCCAGGCCTGGGTCCACCATCACTGGTCCAGGGATGTCACGCGCAGGTTCATAACGAGCACGGTCCCAAGGGCAGGCTGGGTCCCTCTTGTCCCAGGGGATGTCAGGCAGGTTCTCGGAGCCAGGTCAGGGCAGGCCTGCATCCCCTGTCAGGGATGTCAGCAGCGTTCCTCGCGAGCCAGGTCCAAGGGCAGCGCCTGTGTCCCCTGTCAGGGGATGCTCACGCAGGTTCTCCGGAGTCAGGTCCAAGGGCAGCTCGTCACGGCACCGAGCATGTGTGGACCGCTGTTAGAGGGCCGGACGCCCCGGCGCCCCGCCCCGGCGTGCTGCTGCCTGGGCAGGGGGCGTCCCTGGGCAGCCTTGGCGCCAGACCACGTCTGACGCCGCCGCAGACACCGCAGGCGAGCCGCGGGAGCTTTGGCCGCCCTTCCTTCCCGGCCACCTGCAGGTGCCAGCCCCGCCTGTCTGCTCTGTCCCACCTCAGCCCTGTGATCGTGGAGATCCCCCACTTTGCCTCCCACGGCCGGGGGGACCGCGAGCTCGTGGTCCTGCGGAGCGAGAACGGCTCCGTGTGGAAGGAGCACAAGAGCCGCTACGGAGAAAGCTACCTGGAGCAGATCCTCAGCGGCCTGGACGAAGGTGAGCGTGCCCTCCTTGCAGAGAGGCGTGGCGGCTGCCCCCTGGCGGGGCCTGCGGGTGGAAGCCCCGAGACACCAGGGACAGCCCGGCGGCCATGCCACGGGGCCCAGGACGTGCGCGTGGGCACGGGGCCCTGGCTGCAGCGTCTCCTCCGGGGCCCGGCCCCCGGGAAGGCACAAGCATGGTACCCGGGGCTGCCAGGCCCGGGCCGGGCGTGACGGGCAGCGGCCCCGTGTGGTTGCAGAGCTGGGGAGCCTGGAGGAGCTGGAGAAGAAGAGAGTCTGCCGCATCATCACCACGGACTTCCCCCTGTACTTCGTGATCATGTCCCGGCTCTGCCAGGACTTCGACACCGTGGGCCCCGAGGGGGGCGCGCTGAAGAGCAGGCTGGTGCCCCTGGTGCAGGCCACGTTCCCGGAAAACGCCGTCACTAAGAGGGTGAAGCTGGCCCTGCAGGTGAGGAGGCCCTTGACCCTGGCGGGTGTGGGGCACTCAGAGCATGGGCCCTGGGAAGCCCCCCTACTGCCCCAGGGTGGCCCATGTGTCTGGGCAGTGCCCTGGGACACCACAGCAGGGACCTGGCCTGGAGCTCAGAGGGACACGGGGCAGGGAGGGGCGAGGCAGCGGCCCCCCAGGTCGCGGGGTGCCTCAGATTGCCTCTGGCGCATGGCCTGGTGCACTGGGCTCGAGGGGTTCCCACGGCCTGCCTGGAGCGAGACAGAGGAGCAGGAAGGCCGAGGGCGGGGAAGAGCCCCACGCGGGCAGGCCCCGGGCCGGCGGCCCCTCTCCTGCTGGGGCCTGAGTGCCTGCCTTGGGCATGTTGTAGGCCCAGCCTGTCCCGGATGAGCTGGTCACCAAGCTCCTGGGCAACCAGGCCACCTTCAGCCCCATCGTCACCGTGGAGCCAAGGCGCCGGAAGTTCCACCGCCCCATCGGGCTCCGGATCCCGCTCCCTCCGTCGTGGACCGACAGCCCGAGGGACAGCGGGGAGGGGGACACCACCAGCCTGCGCCTGCTCTGCAGTGTGGTCGGTGAGCCCTCCGTCCCCTGTCCTGGCCACAGCGGCTCCTGTGGGGCAGGCTGGGTGCAGCCGGGGGCGGTGAACCCCGGGGAGCCGGGCCCTCCCGGGAGGTGCGAGGGCTGCCTCTGAGCAAAAGAGAATGAAAGCCTCACCCTGCGGAGGCCTCTGGCAGGAGCAGCAGAGGGTGGGCGAGGGGACAGGTGTGCTGGGGCCGCAGACCGGGCAGGCCTCACCCAGCCGTGCGGCCTCCACCCTGCACGCCGGGGCCTCAGCGTTTCGCCGAGCTCCGCGCCTGCATCACTGTCCCCAGCCCTGTCTCTGCTGCCGTTGCAGGAGGGACAGAACGGCGAGAGGCGAGTTCCGAGCACGCTCACACTCGCCAGGGGAGCGCGCCACTTCCATGGGGCGGGGGCGGCCTGCGAGCCACGCCCCGGCCGCCTGCCACGCCCGGCTGCCTGCACGCCGGCCGCCTGCCACGCCCCGGTTTACC